AAAATCTAAAATCCAGCCTAAATCACGGGCCGAATGGTTTACTGAACAGTCATAGACTGTCATTGTGATGGAAACGCAGTGGAGTGCAGTGATGACAGCGCGGTGCGGGCCACATTGCAAGGCCTGGCGGGACGGATTTGGCCCTCGGGCCTTGTGTTTGACACATGTGTGCTGGAGGCAAAGACCAACAGTAGTTAGCATATTAATGCGAAAGTTCCATTAAGGCTAACGGACTGATATTCAGCAGGGCTGAATAATCGGCATAATATTGCTCTGCTGTTGGCCAAATGGCTCATGGCAGTCCCCTAACCTGATAATCCTTTTACTGTTTACCAGACTTTACCTTTGATATGCCTGTTTGCATCCCTAAAGGGCAAATGTGTATTCAAGTAAATAAAAGCCAGACGGGATCAAGTTTTCAGGTTAGCTTCTCTGCTAGAGGGAAATTATCCACCTGGCTCCCCCACGATTTCTAAATTCAAATTTCTTGTCTGGTGTATTCATTTGTGTGTCAGCCTTTTCTTCAGATCCTGAATCCTAGCTGTGCTGGTTGCGGCTTCACACTGGGTCAGGGAATGTCCTGGCAGTAGAGTTTCCTGAACTCATTTGGTCACATGGGGATTCTGATTCTGTTGTGCTGAGTGAAGGCTGAGATCGGCCTTTCAACAGCCTCCGGGATGCTACTGTGGGTCACGCTTTGAGTAGCAGTGACTTGGATGCTGTAAGAATCCCAAACATCAGCAGTGGAGCTGCCAGTGACGAGAGGAGGGAGAAGGAGAAGTCCAGAGGAAGAGAAAGGCCAAGAAAAAAGGGAGGGGGTGGAGCTCCTAGGGCCTCCAGTCAGATGGGATGGTCTGGGATTCACCTGAGGACAGCACAGGCCTGAAGAAATAGTTGGGCCTTCACTCTCTGCTTGCCCAATAGAATCACCTGAAGAGCGCTGAAGGGGAATTCTGATTTAATTCATCTGAGGTTTGGTCTGAGCAGTGGGATTTTGCAAAAGCTCCCCAAGTGGTCCTAATGTGTATTGAGGTGATCATCTGCTTCTCTTGGGTCTGGAGATCTTGGGAGAATGGTCCCAGAGGCCTCGGACAAGCCCTGTGTCCGTGCAGAGGGAGTCCAAGGGGAGCCCTTGAGTGGAAGTGGAGAAAGTCAAACGCAGGTCCTGTGGTATTTGTACCTGCGGGAGAACGGCATGCTGGGGAATAGAGAAAGGATATGACTTTTGTGCAAATGGTTTCCCACAGCTCACTCAGCTTTGAGATTGTCCCTGAGGAGTTGGCTCATGGGTTCGCCTGCCTGTCTCAGAGGGGTGGGCCTCTGCCGGCGCCATTAGGCCCTGGAGAGCACCTGCTCCAGGCAGAAGACAGGCAGCTGCTCGGGGTTCGGTAGTTCCCCTGAAGGAGAAGTGGGCTGAGGGGGGAATGGCTCTGTGGGTGTGGGGTGGGGAGAGGTCTGCGGTCCAGGTGGGCGCTGCCGCTCTGTACCGGGAAGCTGGGCAGTGCACTCTCTCTCGGCAGTTGATAATTTTCAGCCTTGGCTCAGCCCTGGCCTGGACCAGAGGTGGAGCTCGGTGCAAGGTGAAGTCACGGGGAGCAGAACCCAAGAGCCTGGTAGAGGGCGATGCTGGTCTGCTGAGAGGAGACCTGAGTGGCCCAGAAGGAAGACAGACAGACAGAGGCAGGGAGAAGAGGAGGAAGGGGATGACCATGGTCTCGGCAGTCCTGTGATACAGGTCCCCCTTCACCTGGGCTGCCCGGGCTGGGGTTCTGTTCCTCGTACCCCAAAGATCTTCGTGAGGGACACCCAGGGGTTAGGGTGTGGGATGAACATTGCATTTTGCAAGTCAGACCGTGTTTATATTTCTTGTATTTTTTTATTTTTTATTTGCCTTCTTTTCATAAGAACGATAAGTATTTTCAGAATTAAATTCCATGAACATATTTAGTACTGTCTTCTATTTCTGTTAATACCTAGTATGAGTTTTTTCAATTCAGAGTTTGAAAGTCTAATTTTAGACATGAATGTGTAAACCCTGACAGCTCTCCTGAGAAGAACCAAGCACAGGAGCCCTCCTGGGAACGGGCGGGCCAGTGGCCGGTACCTTAATGGAGGCGAGAAGCCGAAGAGGAGGGGAGCTTCCAGGGTTCAGGGGCCTCCCTCCTTGACCAGCTCCTGCCCACCGAAGCCTCCCCTTGAGTACCGGTTCTTGAGGGGTGTCACTTCTTTTGGTCTCCTTTCCTCACGATAGTATGAGGAGCTGGGACCAGGGGCTTTCTAAGACCCAGTGCGCTGTGATTGCCAGGCGTGTAGAGGGCACTGGACTCCGGTGAGGGCCCTCAATGCCAGGAGAGGCCTCAGTTTCCTGGTGTGCCAGATGCTGGCCTGCCTGCTTTTCCTTTTCATAGTGGCATCTACCTCTGTCTTCCTACTCTTTCCTGCCCCACTGCCTCTCTCTCTATGCACCTAGACGGCTTGGAAAAGAAAGGATAAAGGAGCCCTAGCCGGTTTTTCTCAGTGGATAGACCATCAGCCTTCAGACTGAAGGGTCCTGAGTTGGAGTCAGGTCAAGGGCACGGACCTCAGTTGCAGGCTCCTCCCTGGCCTGGGCCTTGGTCAGAGCTCGTGCAGGGGGCAACCAATCGATGTGTTTTTCTCACATCAATATTTCTCTCTGTCTTTCCCTCTCTCTTCTACTCTCTCTAAAAAACAATGGGAAAATAGCCTTGGGTGAGGATTAAAAGAAAAAGAGAGAAAAGAAAGAAAAAAGGAGAAAGAATAGAGGGAACCCACCCAGGCAAGGAAGCCAGGCCGCTGAAATCAAAAGCAATTTCAGCTCGTTCTCATTACCCCGTTCAATAGCTGTGTTCCCCACAGCTCACTGGTGGATGTGTCACTCAGTGCACGCCAGCATTTCATTATTTCATTATTGATCATCCACCTACTGGGAACCCAGGCTGCAGGGAGAGGCGGCTCATGCAGTCTGTTAGTCCGATGCATTCATTGATTGGATGTCTTCCCAGTGCAGAGCTGGTCCCTGAATTACAGAGGGCAGGGCTGGTGGAGCCCGATAAGCCATCTGCTCCACCCTGGACTCTATAGATGGCAGCACTTCCATGGAGAGAGTACGTGACTTGCTTAAGGTCACACAGCGGGACTCGGGCCAGATTTCAAGACAGCCTGTCACCAGTTCCTTGTGCTTCCCACCCCACCCTGTGGCTGTAGGAGGGTGAGGATGACGGGTTCGTTTGTATGAGCATTGAGTGAAGGAAAACAGACATAGTCTCCTTCTGTGCTCCAAATTAATAAGGAGCTCAGGTGAGGGGGAGGAAGACAAATAGCAAAGTCATTTTTAGAAAGTGTGGGAGATAAACTTTTAACTGCAAATGGTGTTCACATTAGGAACACGGGGGAAGATCTTTTGGGTTTTCTTGAGGGAACGGAGTCTTTCTTCAATTGTTTTTCCTTCCCTATTATATTGTTCTTCCATCCACGCTCTCTCTCATCAGCACACAACACTGTTCTGCAATTTCTCTTCTCCTTGACATATTTATCACTTTACTTTCATAGTATGCGATAAGTCTCGGTTTACACAGCCTTTAAAGCAGCTGTTTTTAATGCAAGAGGACATAGCAAGTCTTAAGCCGCCGCCCTCCCCCCAATACCATTGACTGGGGCCATCTGGCTCGAAAACGCTTCCATTTCCTCCCTGGAGAAGCTTCTCTCCACTTTCTACCTTTGAAAAGTGACACAGGAATGAAATAGGTTGACATTTTGAAAACAAGAAAACAGTGACCAAAAGAATGTATTTTCCCATTTCAAGTTAAATTCCTCAAGCTAGATCATTTGACATTGAGCGTTGGCATTTGTAAGCATGGGTTGTTTCCACATATTTGACTCTAACTCTGTACAAGAATCAGTTAACTCTTCTGATTGAAATGGAAGATGGTGCTAACTGTGCTCTTGAAATTTAATTCTAAAATTACTTGTGTTATCGTTCTTAAGAAAAGAAGGCATTTTTGTTGATTTCTCTTGACAACTGAAACATAAATATCTCGTGTCTTTCATGGAACGGCCTCTGTGGCCACACTGCTCTGAGGGTCTGGAGGGCCCCTGGGTGTTGTCGGGTATGAATGCTGCTGCTTTTCAGGAGGAGCAGATAAGCTGTGTTGTTGCTTCTGAGCAGGAGGCACCATAGTGTCCCCTTCGAATCTAGGCTGCAGGACTGGGAGGGGTGTCATGCTGTGTCTGATGGCCCTTTGTGGAAAGGGAGATAATTATTCTGCCCTGAGTGTCTCTTGATTAAAAGTCAACCCATTATTTGAGATTTGTGCTTGCTTGATCTTTTCCTAGTTTGCTCGTTATCTGTCAATATCTGTGTAGGGAGAAACCTATTTGTATCTGAAATAAGATTCATTTATTATCCCAAGTAAGAGAAGAGGTTGAGATGGGAAGTGGATATGAATGCTCCGTTTCTCCCCTAAAACAATAAAACGGATTGGAGACAGTCCCCCGGGTGCTCGCTGAGGGATGGGGCCAGCCTCACACCCAGCCTGGCAGCCTCTCAGGACCAGTGCGAGGGCTTAGGGGTGTTCGGAGAAAGAGTTCAAGCTAAAGCTCCATCTTCCTTACATGTGGGAGCACAGGGCGCAGCCCCTCACACAGATGCTCTCATAGTCAAGGTGGAAACTGATAGAGCTGGAGGCCTTGCTCAAGGTCACACAGCTGAGCTAGGACTTGAACCCAGAGGCCCTAACTCCCACATCACTGTCCTTCCACCAATCCCAAGTACAAATGGGATTCGCTTACAAGTGTTCAGTAATCTGTCCCTTCTGGAATCTCAGATCCCTTAGGGGGCATCTGAATCGCTTCCGCCTCTCTTCATGTACATTAGTATCAGGGCAGAGAATGAGCCAGTGCTCATGGACGCGCTGGTATTATCTGTGGCACAAGATGAAGCGTGTGACTCCTCTTGGTTTCCGAATTGGAACAGCACTTACCCGTACTGAACCACCCCCACCAGGGGGCCCGCCGGGCCAACATCCAGAGCCTGAGCGACGTCAGCCAGGAACTGCTTCTGGATTCGGAAGCGCCGCCCGCCGATGCCCGCGCTCCCGTCGATTAAAAACGCCAGGTCAACCCTGCAGTCTGAGGAACGGAGGAGGGCCTGTTACTCTGATCTCTCATTGCATTTACCTGTGCCTGCTCTCCCCCCTCCTTCTCCACCAGAGCTCCCTGAGGTTCAGTGAAAAGCAGGTAAAAAGAAGTAGCAAGATGCAGGGTATATCCACTTATTTACATCCAATACTGGGCACCCTGGTCCTGGGTGGGTGGGCCAGAGCTCTTACCACCGCTGTTTTAGAATTCTCGGTTTCAGCCATAATTACAGACTTCAGAGCAGGGCCCTCCAGTCAAGCCTGGGAAGGCCCTCAGAACGTGTCCTACCCTGTTTTCCCGAAAATAAGACAGTGTCTTATATTAATTTTTTCTCCCAAAGTTGCGCTAGGTCTTATTTTCAGGGGATGTCTTATCTTTCCATGAACTAGGTCTTATTTTTGGAGGATATCTTATTTTCGGGGAAACATGGTAGGCTCTGACCATAGAAGTGCAGACCCCAGATATGGGATTTAAAAAATATATATATTGTTTTTTGTTTTTTTTTTTACAGAGATGAAGAGAGAGGCATAGAGAGTTAGAAACATTGATGAGAGACAATCATCAATCAGCTGCCTCTTGCACACCTCCCACTGGGGATGTGCCCGCAGCCAAGGTACATGCCCTTGACGGGAGTTGAACCTGGGACCTTTCAGTCTGCAGGCTGATGCTCTATCCACAGAGCCAAACCAGTTTCTGCCAGATACGGGATTTTACTCTCGGGAGTCTGTAGTCTTTTCCTCTCCATCTAACTTTTTAGAAGTATATGTTGGGTCTTTATAAAGGTGGGAAAGAATCCTCAAAGCCAATGCTGAGCAGCAGGAATTTCAGGATGAGAAATTGGTAGCAATCTGCCCCCTCACTCCTCTGGGTGAGGCAACCATGGAATTACTACCCGATGCCAGTGCTCATTTGTAGCCGCCTTAGATGTCCTCCTGTCGTTCAGCTGCGATGATGAGCAGGACAGTTCTGTCCGGTGCCTCTGGACCTCTGCGCATATTTGAAGGTTATGATGGAGGAGGGGAGGACAGTGGGGCTGCCAGCTACTTCAGCCTTTAAATGCTAATCAGAAATGGTGGACAGCCACACACACCGATAAAAGTTAGTGTCGTCTTTGCTCTTGGCTGAAGTGATATCCTCTCAGTATGTTTAGACTGATTATTCTGTGCTGATCAGAATTTCTTAGGGGAGGTAGACAGCCTTTTGATGAATAAAAAATGAGGAATGAATTATTTAATGACTGCAATTTAGGAAACAACATATTTCAAAACCGAGTTTGATGGGGAGAAGAAGAGGCAGTAAAGACTGGCATTCCTGGGCTGGAGGAGTGAGGGTAGGTGGTGCCGAGGCCCAGACAAGCCTGGGTCTCTCTCAGCTGCTGCGTGGTTACCATGGGGCTGCTGGGCAGCTCTTCGCTGCGTGGCATGGGCAGTGTGTCCCTGTGGCCAGAGGATGAGGAGCTTTGTAGGCAGCAAGGGGTTTTTATGTGTTTTTGTTGTTCTTTTTGTTTTTAATAAAAGCAAGAAATGGGCATGAGTTGACACAGTTTTAAAAGCAAATTGAGGCTGAAACCAGTTTGGCTCAGCGGATAGAGTGTCGGTCTGCAGACTGAAAGATTCCAGGTTCGATTCCAGTCAAGGGCATGTACATTGGTTGCGGGCACATTCCCATTACGGGGTGTGCAAGAGGCAGCTGGTCGATGATTCTCTCTCATCGACGTTTCTAGCTCTCTCTCCCTCTCCCTTCCTCTCTGTGGAAAATCAATAAAATGTATTAAAAATAAATAAATAAAAGCAGAATTGATGAGAACTATTTAATAAAGAGAGATCACTGAATTGGCAGGTTAAGGGGAAAAGTTCCATGTGAGAATGTGCTTTATTTCCTTGCAGTGGTTCATGGCAATCCCAGCCAGAGAAGTGGGCTTTGCCAGGGACCTCTGTGGGCCTGGCTGGCTCCGCTCCAGCTGCAGTTGGTGCCTCAGCTCATTAGTGGATCTTGCAAACTGTTAACTTCCTTTTTGCCTGGATAGTGCCTGCTGACTCTTCCTGTTCAGCTGGCCTGCCCTGTCCTTGCTGCCCCCAAACTGCTTCTGCCTAAGCATGACCCCTGGCATGAGGATTGGAAGGAGCAAATAAGTCAGGAAGTAGAGATGAAAGATGCCACTAAAGCCTGGGATAAAGCAAAAGAGAAGGGGAACTGCTATGTGGCTTGTGGGCTCCTTGCCTAGGCCTGGGCTTGCAATGTGAATTGCTGCCAGCAGGTGGCACTGGTGCTCTTCAGGGCTTGCTGCCCACTGGCGCCTGTGGTTTGCTGGAAACAGGCTCCACCCAGACCGTAGCTGATCTTTTAGAACTCCTCTTTAACAAGGTCTCCAGGTGGTTCAGGGGAACATCCAAGTTTGAGAAGTAACTCCTGGAGAGGGCTCGCCTTCAGATGTCAGCTGAGCAGTTCAATGAACCTTTTAAAATGATCACTGTTTTTTGGTGTGTGTATGTGTGTTTTAGTAACTATTAATTAGAGCAAGAGCCAAAGGAGATTTTGTTCTAAAATGCATAAAGTAGAATACGTGGATTTTGTAGACCATTCCCCCCTTATTTCTTATGTTTTTGAACTGTGTCTCGGATAGGCATGTTCATTTTGCAGCTAGGTTTTGAGGAAGTGAGGTGGCTTTCTATTTGAGTAGTTCTCTTCGCTTCCTAGCCTGATGGCTGAATTGAGGTCATCTTTGTGTGTCTCCCTCCCCTCCCCCTTCCCCAGAATGATCTAATGACAGTGGTTCTGTCTCAGGGCACGTGCTCACTGAGACCTAGTGGCTTTCTCATATTGAGATGAGATCAGTACTAAAGGGTGGAAGTGGGATATGAAATGTTGAGCATGAGCGATTTACTGTGGTAGAGATTGGAGGACTAGAAAGAGAAGGTAAGATATGTCGTCTATAGGAATCAATTTATCAGTTTTCTTAATTGCTTTGGTTTTCTGCAACAAGGTTCAATTTTATTGATTAATGCCTTGTGTTGCCATATAAATACACGAGGCCAGTGTTTCTAGGTAAGTGTCAGTCGCTTAGGCAGCTTCAGCGAATAAAGGTGACTGGGAAGCGCTCTGGGCTGTGCTTGTCAGGAGTTACTGTGCGAAGTCACCACTGGATTTGGGGGCCTGGCCTTCTGCATTTCTAACAAGCAATGTCGATACTTCTGGTCCCCAGACCACACTTTGAATAGCAAGAGCTAGGCTCAGATTCAGTAGGTCTGAGGCAGGAATTTGTCATCTTTAATTTTTAAAGATTTCTTCTGATGGTTGTCATACACTGTGGGGTTGAGACTCACAGCCCAGTGGTGGCTGACTCGTAGTAAACTTCTGGGGGAATTTGCCGATGCTCTCCTTGGCTTGCACACCCAACTCCCCTCCTGGTTTTCCTCTTTTCCTCTGGTCCCTCCTTTCTACTATCCTCAGGTGGCCTCTCCTTCACCTATTTAGTGTTAAAGTTTATCAGGTGTAAGTTCTAGGTCACATTGCCTTTTTTCATAGGCTTGGTTTTGAACCATAGCTCATCATCTTCCAACTCTAAATTTCCGGCTGGGCTGTTCTTTCTGAATGTTGTATCAGGGTAGTCTGGGTAGTCAGCTCTCAGTGTTTTGCAGAAGATAAACGAACTTAAATGGCCTCCCTGCCTCAACCTGCCCTGTTCCCAGTGGTCCTCAGGGCAGTACCTCTACCTAGTTGCTCTGATCACTTTTAATTGCCCATTCTCCTCCTCCAGTCCTGTAGATGCTCCCATCTTTATATCTATTGAATCTGCTCTTTCTCTGCAACTCTGAGCTCTGCCTACTATCCTCTCCACTGGCCAGCCTCCTCTTCATATGCTCTTGTGTCCCTATTCTGCCCTGTTGCCATAGTGATGTTTCAAACGTCTGATCCTCTCCCCCTCAAGCACACAGAAAGTTTAAATCCTTCAAAAACTTCCCTTTCCCCTTAGAACAAAGTGACAGGAGAGGGGAGGTAAGCAGAGCCGAGGTTGGAAAGAGGCAGGTTTGGGTGGGAGTGAGTGGGAAGAGAGGAGCCAACAGATGAGATGTCGGAGTCACTCCCGGCTTCTCGTTGTTCATTAACTCACTCGGATCTCCCTGGGAGACGGGGTCCAGAGGCTGTGTGCTTGTTTCTTCATTCAGGACAAATCCTGGAAAGAGCAGCAAACTCTTGGTGATTCGGAAGCACAGGAAGCTTCTGGTCTTACCCGAGGGATGGGGACACAATGGATATTCGCACCCAGCTCAGGGGGCCGGCTTACTGCTAACTGTGCTCTTCTCCTCACCACCCCCATCGGAAGAGATAAGAGGGAATGAATATTGACTGACTGCCTACTGAAGGCACAGTTGGTGCTCACAGGGATTGGAAGTCACACTTTGAGTTCTGTCCCCTCCTGTGAACTCACTCTGCTTGAGCCTCAGTTTCCTTATCTGAGAGCCTGAAGTGCTTCGCCCCTGTGGTTTATCCCTCTGCAAAGCCCTGGAAACCTCCAGGGGCGGGCCTGCGCCTCGCTCATCATGAACCTTCACGGTGCCCACCACCTGCAAGCCCTCAGCGGACATTTGGTGACTGAGTCAGTGAACAAAGATGAGTGAGACACAAGGAGGACCATCCTACGGGGTGGGATGTAGACTGGAGGGGCCGAGAAAAGGTACAAGTAACTCAAACAAGAGGATCTAAAATGCGGCTCCTCTGAGTAACAGTGCGAAACGGCCTTGTGCTCTGAGCGGCTGTAGGACCTGAATTTCAACCGCAGGGTTGTGTGTGTTTTTTAGGAGCCATTTGCATGGCAGCCAAGATCACACATGTACCGTTTAAGGGATTAAAGACAGCACATAAGCACTCTCTTAGGCTCGCTAAGGCCAGTGAGCCTCCCAGGCAGAGGAAAACTTGCACTGGGAGTGGGTTTCCCTGTTTTGAGGATGCTCAGGACACCCCCAGCCTCCCCGTTGGGCTCTGCCCACTCCTGGTGCAGTGAGCTTGCTCCCGGCTTGTTAGTTTTTCCAACTTGCAGAGCACCTGATTCCATCTTCCCATTAAGGGTCGGCATGCTCTTCTCGCTTCCTCACATCGTTAGAGAGCTCACCGGGTGTCTTCGGGCCTTTCTCAGCCAGGAGCCTCTCAGGAAACTGCCCCAGACCCCTCATTGGAGGGAGGGAAGGAAACGGAAGTCCCTGGCTGAGTCCTCTCCTCTACCTCTGTCCCCCCTCTTGCACCGAGAGCCGGAGTCCGGGTTTATTGCTGCCGTTTCACACACGTGAGGCAGCGAACAGTGACCAGCGTGCCTTCCCTGAAGGGGAAGCCTCAGAACCACTTGCAGAGCAGGAAGGGGAAATGGAAGGAAGTCAGTGTGTCCGGAGGGAGAGGGCCTACATCCCCTTTGGGGGCAGGGGACTGCCTCCCTCTGCTGTCTTCAGCCTGCTTTTCCGCTTTATTACAGCATCCCCCTCAGCCCAGGCCCCTGTGGGAGTTCCCAGGCCCCGAGGGGGGGGTGGGGTGGGGTGAAAGCGCCTGGCCTCTGGGCCCGGCTGGGTATGGGCCTCCCTGGTTCTGAGTCCTGTGTGTCACCATCGGGTCTGGGGAGGAGGTGGGCTGTACAGTTACCTGCTTCCAGAAGGACCGATCCAGGTTTCCACATGCCCGTGTCCCCTGGTTTTCAAAGTAAAAAGAAACAAACTTGTTATTTGGATGAAACCAGCAGTCTCTCCAGTGATCCCTGCTCCCTCCCCTCAGGATGATCACATTTTCCAACTGCGTCAGGAGGTTCAGTGAAGGGCGAGGGGGCAGACTTTTGGATGAAGCAGCCAGAAACGTGTGGGATTTTCTCATGGAAAGGTCTGAAGCCAAAGACAAAAACACTTTTGCCCTTTTCTTGCTCTCCATTGTGCACGAAGGATCATGGGAAAGTGGGAATCCTGGGATTCAAGGGGACCTAAACGGTCATTCAACCCAACCCCCCCCCCCCCCAGCATGCTTCTGCAGCACCCTCACCAAAGCAAGTGGATAGCTAGTGCTTGAATGCCTCCAGAGATGGGGAACTCATTACGTGCACAACCCAAGTAGTGAATTCTTCCTGGGACTATGGAGACTTTGAGAAAAGCTTTCATTGTAGCTGAAATCTGTATCCGCCACCCATCTCTCCGCACCAGTTAAACACACAGTGTGTACCCAGCATCGTTCCAGGCACATTCGCCTCAGCCGCCCGTCTGTTTGTGTTCTCTTCCTTGGAGAACCGTGGCCCCTTCGGGGAGCAGGCACTACGTTCCTGAGGCTCTGCTTCTCACCGAGCGCCTCCAGCAGAACAAAGCCAGTGGCCCCGGCATTCCTTCCGCAGTAAAATGTTTAACGCTCGCCGCCCCCTGCACCCAGGCTGGTGCTGGCTGATACCGAGGAAAGGGCGGCTGGGAAGGGGGGATTCCTACTCCAAAGTCCCTGACCTGTTTGGGGGCCGGGGGCGGGGGGAGGGAAATCATGGTTGAGAGGGGCTTGGAGGTAACACTGGCATATTAGGAAGTCTCAAAAAGATACCCAAACAGCTGTTTTCCTCCCTCTCTTCCTCTTTTCTCCTTCCCTCCTTCCCTCCCTCCCCCCCCCTCCCTCCCTCCCTCCCTCCCTCCCTCTTTCCCTCTCTCCCTTCCTCCCTTACTTTCCCACTCCCCAACCCACCTCCAACTCCGAAAGCCCAAAGCTAAGGTATGATAAACGGTCTCATTTCTCAGAGACCATCCCTGCTGCTGCATGCTGGAAGTATTGACACACTCAAAAGCAGTGGGTTTAAGATGGCAGGCGATTCTGAAAGTCACTCTGTGCTCTGGCACATTCCGATTTCATGGTGGGAGCGGAGTTTAATGTAGCTCAGCCATTAACCAGGCGGATGACCTTGAGCAAGTCACATGCCCTCTATGAACCTCCATTCCTTTGTAGATAACACTGGCAGGTTGAGTGAGATGATTGCCAGGTTCAAAATATTTAGGATTTACATGTTCAAACACTCCGCTGCTTCAACCTTATCACTCTATTGCCACCTACTGGTAAAAATATGCACTTTGCCCTTTCCCTTAAGAAAGTAAATAAAAAGGTGCTGGTGACATCTGTTTTTGCCCAAGGCTGTCAGCACCTGGAGGTTATGAAGAGTTAGGATTCTGGGTGCTGTTGCTTTCGCTGGAGATAGGCCGTTTCCATGCCTCCGCCTGTCCTGTTGGTGCCACTTCCATTTATTTGGGATGGGTTTGAACCAAGTCACTTTTACCCAAACGCCGAGGGCTGGGTAATATTTGGACAGCTGAGACCTGGTGCTTTTGGACTTGGTTGTAATGAGAAGGAAGCACACTTGGTAGAAGGTTTGTATTCCTGTGCAGAGGCACAGGGCGGTGTGGAAAAAGAAGTTGGAAGACCCATCCCAGGTCTGCCCCAAACCAGCCAGGCACTTGTGGGACTCGCCCGCCTTCTCTGACCTTAAGTCTCCCCGGGGAAGCTGAAGTCAGAGAGACTTGTGCTCGGCCAGCGTGGCTCAGGGGTAGAGTGTGGACCTGTAAACCAGGAGGTCACGGTTGGATTCCCAGTCAGAGAACGTGCCTGGGTTGCAGGCTGGATCCCTCGTGTGGGACATGCAGGGGGCAGCCGATCCATAATGTTCTCTCATCACTGATGTTTCTCTCTCTCTCCCTCTCCTTTTCTCTACAAATCAATAAAAATACGTTTTGTTTTGTTTTTTTAAAGTAGGGCCTAGAGATAGGTCTCGTTTCCAACCGTGCCCTGGCCGTGCCTGATTCCAGTGGCAAGGCCGAGGCTGCCAGCTGGGGCCTCTCATGCAGACCAGCCCCGTGAGAGCCCTGTGGTGTCTGGACTGGCAGGAATTTTCTCTTGGACACAGAACAGACAGAGCCAGGAGACATTTTCTAGAGGCTAACGCACCTCGGGTGACCTGGGTTGAGCGGCAGAGGCCCTCAGCGTGCGGGGAGGGAGTGTTGGCAAAGGAAGCGGGCGGGGGTGCTGAGCAGTGGGCAGCGGGGCCAGGCTGACACCGTCGCCCGGCAGGCTTCTGGATAGCAGCTCCCGAGCGTCTGCTTTTGGTACCTGAGGGGATTACCCGGGGCCCGCTTGATCCACATGCAGCCAGCAGTCTGCTTTCTTTCCCTCATTTTGCCCCTGATGAGAATGCCCTGGTTCAGGTTTTCCTTGGAAGCCAGCTGAGCTCTCTGTGGTGGGCCCTCCTTCTGGGGGTTGCAGAGGAGGCAAAGCTCCTGGCCAAGAGGACAGGAGGAGGGAGTGCCCCGCGCTTGGCTGCCTGAACACTCCCCGGGGCCTGGTGAGGACTAAAATGGCCTTGGAGTCCTTGCCCCGCCCAATGAGCAGATTCCTAAGCCCTTTGTCGAGGACAGCAGCGCCAACGGACGGACGGACGGATGGACGGACGTAATTGGGAAGCTCGCAGAAGCTGCTGGTCCTGTCCGCGGGACCTCATGGAGTCCCTGCTCCAGTTGGCATCAGAGCTAAAGAGAACCTACAGTCTCTTTAGGGGTCTTTCAACATGTGGAGGACAGGCAGGTATCGCCCACAGTGGTCTGCAAACTGCAGCTGGCGAGCCTCGGTTTGTTGCTCTGTTGACTAATGAGTTTGCCGACCACTGTCCTAGCAGAAGACAGACCTGCTCCCTTCCCTTGGAGGTCTGGGCCCCCATCCCAACGCCCTGGGGCTGCAAAGGGAACAGTCCTTCCATCAAGTCTGTGAGCTCAGGGCCCAGAGTTAGCGGAAGCCTCTGAGGTCACTCAATCCCCCTTCTAATCGCTCCAGCTTCACCATCAGGAGAGCGCTCCGTCCCTCTGCGGTGCCAGGGCTGGCTCAGACCTGGAAGGGCACACAGAGGGAACGGAGGGAGCCAGGGAGAGGGTAGTGCAGAGGAGACTCCGGGAGCAGAGGGGATGTGCTTCTGTTCCTCACCTTCCTCACCGCTGGAAGTACCAGGGCACACGGAGCTCTGCCTTTCCCGGGAAAAGATAAAAACTTCTCTGTTTGCCCAGTGCCTCAGGCACAAGCCCCAGAGAGTATCCCTTTTCAGGTCCACAGGCGTCAGTTACTGAGTCCTGAGGAATTTCTTACTAAACCCCCCACAGAACTGCCTCCAGGGAACCGCGCGGAGGGAAAACCTTGCTTATGTAAGGCTTCCTTGCTTTCCTTACAAGTTTCTTTACAAGCGGGGCCCTTGGGCTGTATCTTTTGTTGGCATAACCTGGTGGAATGCTTTCTGTCCAAATCCAAATCAAATGGCAAGGGTTTGGAAAGACAAAACCCGTGTAAACACACTTAACTTTCGTCAGCCAGAAAGGTGAGGGCAGGCTCTTACCTGGGCTGGCACGGGGGCTGTTCTGGCTGCTTGTGTCGGAGGCGGTGGGCCAGGGATCTGTAATAACATTTGACTGGTCAGAGCGTGAATGTTAATCTAATCGCTCTCCTCCTTCCCGTGATTCTAACCTAATAAGACATGACCAAGGCCAGACCCAAGGTAAAGCTTTGTCCTTGGGCGGTCTGAACCTGCCCCAGAGGAAGCATTGAAATGGAAAAGAAAGAAAGAAAGAAAAAGGGTTTAATTCAAAGCACTATTCCAGGTAATAATAACCCTTGTATTTCACTTGTTTTATGAAAGTACCATATTTTTATACTTCATTATTACAATAATTCTCCTCAGTTGTGCCACTCCCAAGGAGGTTAAAGTAATCCTTCAATAGACACGTCACTTAACATTGAGCAATTTGCTTAAACGGTGTTAACGTGGCATTGATGCAAAGAGCGTTAGTGCTCAGTGATTCTTAAAGGTACACAGTGGGTTATCCTTAATTACTCTGAGAGAGAATCAAATATGCTTAAGCATTCATTATTTATTGGGCAATTTCTCTGAAGCAAAGGAGGAGGGAGATGGGAGAGGTGGGGGTTCTGTAAAGAGAAATGCAAAATCCCTTTGCGGGGGAGAGGGGCCACGTAAAAACCAGCAGAGGGGAAGACCAAGCTTCATGGAGGGGCCATGGAAAACCATCAGCTTCTCTTGCAATCAGATCCATGTGCCATCCATTTCCCATTCCTGTTGTCTTTGTTATTTGGACACAAGTAAAACTAGCTAATTATAAAGACAACACATGCTTACTGTAAAAAATATACTAAGGATAGTAAGAAATCACCTGTAATGTAATGAATCCCTGTATTCGAGTGTACAGTCTATACTGGTATACAGTTTTGGCTTCTAGAGTTAGATTCCCTTTTCTGTGCTGTGTTCTCACCCACAGGACACAGTTATGAGCATGAGATGGTGCCCAGGCTGTTCTGTAGCCGCTGCTTTGACCTCCCAGGCTGTCCCAGGCTAACCTTCTGTCAGTAAGTGCACCTCGTCATCAAAATTTTAATAGCTGTATAGTAGCTCCATTACTGGTCTGATGATGGACAGTTAAACTGTTTCCGTTTAGTTTTCTATGATGAACAGCATCTGTGTCCTGGCTTCTTTATGTCCTTGGCTGGTAATTACCTGAAAATACGTTCCTGTAAGTGCGAATTCTGGGTCAGGTCTCCACACGCTTGCCATAATTGTGTGTGATCAATTTCCAGTGTGAATTGGTGAAAATGACATCGTATTGCTTAATTTGCATCTATTTTATTCCTGGTGGGGTTTGAACGTCTTTTGTTATATTTATTGGCCACTTACAGTTCTTCCGCTTTAGCTTTGCCTGGTCATGACCTTCACCCATTTTTCTTTTGCAATGTTTGTTTTCCTATTTGTAAGACTGGATTTTAGGAAGAACTTTCTCCAGACACGTTAAGGGAATTAAACCTTCAGAGACGAGATAAACGTTGGTAGACAGGGAAGTTGCATGAGGAAGGGATGGGCAGTTAGAGAAGCTGGTCTCCTTCCTGTGCAGAGTTCACCACTTCCTTCTCCTTTCTAACAGCTGTCAGAGGGTGGAGTAGGAGGTGATCAGAGCCATTACTATGCCTTGCCGTTAGGTGGTGCTCTGCTTCCTTCATTGGTCTACCCTTCCTTGTAGAGGCATTTAACAGGCTAGATTAGCTGAAGCAACCATAGAGCTTCTTAATACAAACCCGACCAGGAAAGCAATGCTGGGCAAAGCCACTCCACATTGCAGACCTGGTGGATTCAGCTGACTCTGCAGGTGGGCCTGGAGGGATTTTTCCATCTTCTCCAGAACTTTCCTCAGCCTATCTATGGATATGGTTCTCTAGGCTACCCCCCTCTGGTCCTGGGATGCAGCTCTGCAGCCTATTGACTCCAGTGGGTGCCGATAGTCTTTTGCCTCCACCTGAAGAACAGCCTCACTCCTGCCTGGGCGAGGCGGTCTCTGTCACTCTGGCTCTTGGGACCTCTTTCCCCAACCTTGAGTTGTTTCTCAGTGTCTTGTTAGCTTTGCACATTCCTGGATCAATAAGGGGCTATGATGAGGCCTTGGTGTCCAGCCCCATCTTCCTCAGAGCCCTTCCACCTACATCAGCTCCTCTTCCCCTGTCTTTTCCTGCCACAAACTTTCTACTTTCTACTAAAACCCATCCAAGTTCCTACGTCCCATCTGAGAGGCAGCTCTGTACCTCCTTGTAGAGCAAAGATGAGTCATGGACCCCAAATGCAGATTGCTCCTGTCCCACCTGCACACTTCTCACATGTCCTAAGCTGAAGCGACCTGCTACAGGGATCCTGGTGGGATGTGTCCACCAATGCAGCCCAAGAGCCTAGAACAGTGTCTGACACATAGTAGACCTCAATAAACATTTGTCGAATAAATAAAATGAATTAGATTTTACTGGAATGCCCTCATTCACAACCACTACTTAAATCTTTTGACTAAAGTCAAAATAAGAGAAAACACGAACAGAAAGCCAACCTTGATAAATACAATAACAGCAACTCAGTTGTCCAGCATCAGCAGAGTTACTCTCCCACTACAGGTGGCAGATTATTTCCAGCTCATTTGAAGAAACAGAGGGGTTATTTGTAAACTAAAGATTATATAGTTGGGATACGATATCACTGAAAGCAACTATAGCCATATATTAAGATAGGCATTCATGAAAGTATTATAGATAGATTGGTGGTTACCTGGGGCTGGAGGAAGGAGAGATTAGGGAGATACAGTGAATGACTCAGTTGGGGAATAGGGTTTGTTGTTGGGGAGAGAAAATGTCCTATTACTCATTGTTGGGGAATGATTGTACAACCTTGTGAATATACTAAAAAACCATTGAATTGTACATGTTCAATGGGTGAATTGTATGCTGGGCAAAAAGTATCTCAATCAAGTTGTTATTAAAAAAGACATAGCTCTTCACACATCAGTTTTCACTCCCTTCGGTCCTACAGAAAGTCCTTTGAGTAAGCTTTTAAAAGTCCTCTCTCCCTCCCCCCCTCCATGGTCTGGCTCCTTTCTTAGCAAATACTGGGCATTCTGCATGGATGCTCGCTCAGAGTATCTGTCTAGCAGCCTGTGGGGCAGCATGGGCGCGGGCGCTGGACGAGGATGAAGAAGGAACACTGATGGGCAGGGAGGCTCTCGTCCAAGGCCCTATCCCCCGGCCAGGAAAAATGAAGCGTTGCCAGGTTGGGAGCCACTACTTCAAGTTGCTTGTGGTTTTCCATAAGCACAGGCCCAACCTGTAATAGGATTTCCAAGCTCCCAGGGCAGCCAAGTAAATATGCCACATGTTTAATTATACATGTTAGGTGAAAGCTGTCCTCTAAGGAGACACCAGGAGCAAACAAGAAGTTACTCAGCTACTCAGAAGTCTTTGAAAGAATCAAGGCCTCCAAAAGGCAAGAGCCTGAAATTAAGAAAATGGATGGAAAATGTTTGCCATGGGAGCCCTGTTCCAGGATCCTTCCTAAGTGCTTTCTCGTTTGCTGTCAGGCATAGTGTGCCTGTGTTCATATTAACCTGAGATGAGTAAGAATAGGGTGGTGAGAAGTGTCTGTCAATCTTCAGAAATTATTTTTACTTTTTAAACATTTTTTAAAATTGATTTCAGAGAACAAGGGAGAGGGAGAGAGAGAGATAGGAACATCAATGATGAGAGAGAATCATCGATCAGCTGCCTCCTGCATGCCCCACACTGGGGATCCAGCCCACAATCTGGGCATGTGCCCTGACTGGGAATAGGTTGATGTTCAACCACTGAGCCATGCCAGGTAGGCCAAAATTATATTTATTTGGGGACTTTATTTACATAGCTTCTCCCATGAGTTGTTCATTGAATGGAATAATAATCTATTTCATAGGGCTGTTGGGAAGATTAAATGAATTAATGCATTCAGGGTGCCTGGCACATGAAAAGTGTGGACTATGTGCATTCCATTACTTATTATTATTTTTAATCCTCACCCGAGGATATTTTACCATTGAGTTTTAGAGAGAGTAGAAGAGAGAGGGAAAGACAGAGAAATATTGATGGGAGAGAAACACATTGATTGGCTGCCCCCCACATGCGCCCTGACCAGGGCCTGGTCCGGGGATGAGGTACATGCAACTGAGGTACATGCCCTTGACTGGAATTGAACCCGGTACCCTTGGGTCCGCAGGTGGACCCTATCCACTGTGGGCTCCATTACTTACTATTCATCACAGTGGGAGTTGGCTGTGTCTAATCTTGCCACCCATCCTGCTTCTGTGATCTTCATTAGCACCTGGGGTGTGGTTTATGGCAGGGAGGCCTTTTGCAAGGGGAGTCACAGGAGGGCCAGGTTGCCAGGCTCAAACCCAGCTCTGCCCCTGCCCAGCTGTGTGATTTGGGGCTGGTTTCCTCGCCTCCCTATGCCTTGGTTTCCTCATCGTCAGCACAATGGGTCAGTCAAATGAAAAGAAACCTCTACGTGATAGGGTTGTGGTGAGGATTTAATAGGCTGATATTTGTAAGATGCTCAGGAGAGTATGTTGCACATCTAAAGTGTGTGTTTATGAAATAAAAAGATGGAACAAGAGTTAGTTGGCTTTGATATGGAAAGGAAGGGCCATGCTGGGTGGCCGGACTGTTTGGAAGCTGGCGGTAAGGCTGGAAGGACAGAGTGGCACCAGGAGGGAAATATTAGGACAGATTGCTGAGGCAGCGGTGGCACTTCTGTGGAATTTCCCACCCCCCTTTCCCGAAGGGCCATGGAAGGAGGAGGTGCTGATGATCCAGGCTCCACAGATGTGGTATAGAAACAGGAGATGGGGTCACCAGCGCACCCTTCGTGTTGTGTTTGAGGTAATGCTGGGATTGCTCCCATAAACTGGTCTTTGGTGAAACCTAACGCTTCACTTAAGAAATGGATACAAGTAGCAGGACAAAAAGCTGTCAGAAAAGGAATAAAAATGTTAGCTATCTGGCTTTTCCTAAAGGGATTTGTTTTGTTTTGTTTGTTTCTAATATTTGAAAACTCCCAGGAGTTTATAATCTGTCACTTAAGACGGAACAGTGTTTACGGAGAACCTCCTATGCCTTCAGCTGAGCTTCTGGAGAAATGGGGATTTTGTAACGGGAAAGTTTCGTGTGATCTCCTACCTTCGAAAGTATAACAAAGGACCTATTTTTGAATCTATTTTAAACCCTTTCTATATATCAATAGTTTGCTTATTAGCTCTTAGCTTGATCCTAAACTATTCTTATTGGGCTCACAGTTACCCTTTAAAACTGGGAGAACATATACCCCTGGCCCAGGTCTCAGGCTTTCCCCCCTCCCTCAGCTCCACAGGTGAAGAAGGCACTCCACAGGCGTTCAGACTGAGGGCTAATCTAAGAGCCAGACTCCCGCTTTCTTGCACTGGAAACACACAGTGTACCTACTGACCCAGCTGCTGGCTCCTGTGGCCCGCAGGCTGTGGTCTGGGGCTGCTGGTGGCTTCGCCTGCCGGTGGGGATGGCTTGGGCAAGGTGGTGTGGGAGCCTTCTGCAGAGGTGGTCCCCGGTACCTGCATCAGGGTCCCTGGCTGTGCGGTTGTCCCTGGAACTGATGGTTTCTGAGAGGCTTTTGTGGTCTCATCTGTAAAAAAAAAAAAAAAAGAAATTACACTGGGGCCTATCAAATAGCCAGTAGACCCCTCAGGACAGATATACAATAAAAGTTTATTGGACACCAGCTTGTGGGCAAAGACCTGAGCTAGCGGCTGTGGATGGCGGAACTCACCTGCCCTACAGGATGGAGCAATCAACCAATACACAAACCAAAGAGTGAAGAACAACAAAGTAATTAAAGACAGTTCAGACCTCAGAGACGTGGATAAGGCAGAACATGATTCATTGCTAGAGGCAACGGTCATAAACATACTTCTTTGATATTTCAATTACATTGGTCCAGGGATAAAAAGTACTCTAGTGTTCACTATCACTCACTTTTAGAGAATGCATTCTAGATTGCCAGTTCATGACTAGTCAGCTAACTCCTCTGGGCCTCAGTTTCCTCATCTGTCCAGTGAAGTAAGAGAACTAGTTAGATTGTAAGGATCATGTTGATTCGGCTAACCTGTGGTCTTCATCCGTGTGAGACACATTAGATTGCTTTTACACAATTTTAAATGAGTGTGTTTGTTACTACTCTGGCGGCCCTGAGAGTATTTCTGAAGGTTTAGGGCAAGGGGACATGTGACTACCCACTGGGCATTGGGAACTGTCTTCAGAAGCATGGGTTTGTGTCGGAAGGAGACACAAAAGGGTCCCACAAAGTGAAAAGCACCCCAGTCCTGGAAGGACAACAGAACCCTCGAAAATGCCCGGTGGGTCCCATGGGGGTTATGCCAGCTTCTCTATCTGCCCATCTGTATTCTCTGACAGTTCTGGAGGCCAGAAGCTGGAAACTGGTGTCATCCTGGCTGAGCTCAAGGGGTCAGCAAGACTGAGCTTCCTTGGGAGGTTGTTGAGTAGAATTGGTTTCCCACCTCTTCCATGTTCTGGTGGCTGCTGGCATTCCCTGGCTTGTGACCACACTACTCCAACCTTAATGGCCGGTGTCCTCAGTGTTCTCTGCTCCACCTCGGTGTGTGAGTGTGTCAGATCTCCCTCTAGCTCACTGTTATAAGGATATGTGTGATTGCATGTAGGGCCCACCCAGATAATTCAGAATAAGCTCCCCATCGCAAGATCCTTAGCTTTATCCCATCTGCAATGCCCACTTTTGCCATGTAACATTCACAGTTTCCAGGGATGAGGACATGGGTAACTTTGGGGTAGGGTGGGTGGGGGGGTACATTTCAGCCCACCACAGCATGCTAGCTCTAGCCTTAACTTGGCTCCCGGTTGGTGTGTCTCAGGTACACAGACCAGCAGGCATAGGGGGTAACGTCTGAGATAGAAAGGTGATGCACTCTGTGGGAACCACCCAACTTCCTCTTTGACATTGTGCAGTGAGTGCGCAGGGAAACTGTCTACCATAGCCCAGGCCAGCTGTGCAGAGGGATCCACTGCCCCGCACTGGTATTCCCTACCCTGACACTGTCACCTCCTGCGCCAGTCAAAGCACAGACTTGGGGGAGCAGTCAGCAAACGGCACCCGCCCTGCTATGGGGCTGGAGTCCGGTCATCTGGTCTACGCCTGCGGGCACCGGCCTGTCAAGGCAGGAAGCAGATCCTTTCTCCAGCCTGTCCCGCCTCTAAGTCTGCCTAGGCTGTGCCAGACAAATTGCTAAAGAGCTGGCAGCAGCTCTGGGGTTCGGCCAGTGTTCACGCCATCCTTGGGCAAAACCGAACCTGTGTTTTATGGCATTTCCATGACTTTAGAGGAATTGCGCTCTCATAACAAGTCTTTGGGGAGTTTCTAATCTCTCTAAAGTTCTCCTCGGTCTCACCCTCTGGTGAGCGCTACCCTCTTTAATGCCTCTTAGGGAGGAGCAGCCCCAGGTCCAGCCTGCTGCATAGAGGAAAAAGCCCTAATAGAATCGTCTATTTTATCAGATGGGATATAATTATTATGTTGGAGAGAAAGATATAAATAAACTGACAGTACACTTTACTTGCAAATTATGATTCAAACACTCACCTGTTTTTATTGAGCTCAGAGGAGCTCGAGGCTCTGCCAGGGGTCCTCAAACTTTTTAAAGTGGGGGCCAGATCACGGTCCCTCAGAGAGCTGGAGGGCCGGACTATATGAACTACTAATTCCTACTGTAACACCTCGGCTGCGCTCACTGCCCAAAAAACCTGGCGGGCCGGATCAGACTCCTCTGCGGGCTGCATGTGGCCCGCGGGCCGTAGTTTGAAGACGCCTGCGTCTAGCCAAATAGCAGCTGTTTGTCTCTGCCTGGCGAGCAGCGTTTAAATCTAAGCAATGCCTGTCCAGCAGGAGCTGTGCGGCCAAATCAGGGGGCTTTCTGTTTTCTGAGTGAGAGAATGTCCCGGGGAAGAAGGCTGTGATGCTTTGAGAGGTCATCCTAACCTGATTTACCTGTTAACGCACATTCCTGGGGAGGTGAGGGAGTGTTTTATAGGGGCCTGCTGAGACCTGAGCAGCTGCTGGCCTCACTTCACCGTCTCTTCTGCTTTCCAACGCTGCTACAGGAATCTCATCGTGTAAGGAAGAGTAGCAACAAAGAGGCCACGCTTTTACGATTCTCACTGGATGTTTTCTTTGAGTTGGGGACCTCACTGCAGGTGAGACTGGTCCATAGGAGGTGTTTGATGTAATGATTATTGAGTAAATGAATACATAATGAATGAATGAACTTAACTTTTCCCACTATGACAACTCTACAAGATCTTATAGTAGGATAGTACTGCCCAGTGGCAATGTCATGGAAGACAGAGAAGGTTTGGTAGCGGGGACAAGTGACATCAGCAGTACTTGACTTGATGCTCTAACTATGGCTCTTCCTCATTTTCAATGTACGTGCCAGGAAGCCCGCCTGTCTGCTCCGCACTCCTCTTGGATGTCAGTGACTCAGGCACGTGGAATAAGTACTTGCCAGAAGTAGATGGTGGTGAGCTGGGCCTTGGCGCTTGGGGTATACAGAGTTTTGGAAATGACCTCTGATGTGGAGTATGTAGAAACCCGATGGATTTTATAACCTAAGCTGCCAATTGGCTGTAGAGTCTCTCCCCTTCACCTCTCTCCCCACTCTTTGCCTTCTCTGAGGGGTGCAGTCAGCGTTGGAGTGTGGCATGGGGCAGTCGGAGTGGTGCCCTGAGGCAAGGCATTAAAAACAGCGCCTCATCGGGAAGTGGGGGCCACAGGCCCCCTGCCTCAGGACCTGTGGAGTCCAGGTGACTGCACAGAGGAAACACTTGGTCCTGGGTAGCTACCTTCGCAGGCTGTCCGGGTTCCCTGTGGTCTGGATTCTGGCTGAGGCCTGGAGCTGAGCCAGAAGGCCCTGGTGCCCATTCTAAATGAGGGCAGTGCCCCTGACCTTCCCACAGGGGGTCAGGGAGCATTCGATTAGAATCTGGCCATCACCAGCCCCACCTCACCGGGGCCGGTCAGCAGACGGAAAGGACCAGAAGAGTTGGGGTTAGTAGCCACTATTTGGGCCTCGCCCTTCCTCCTGGCCTCGCCCTTCCCAATCCATGGGAGGGAACTTCCAGGGACTGGCTCACCACGACTGCAGGGGCCTGCGGGAGGGAGGCGGGCCTCTCTCTTCTCTGGTCTTGCTGAGCCCCAGCACCCACCAGCCACCTGGTGCGCTGCGGAGGCAGGCTTGCAGGACAAGTTTTGGAGAGTATCCTTGGAGTGTGGAAGTATTCTCCCTCTCAGTGTAAAAACAGGGGGTACTGCCGAAACTGGTTTGGCTCAGTGGATAGAATGTCAGCCTGCAGACCGAAGGGTCCCAGGTTCGATTCTGGTCAAGGGCATGTGCATTGGTTGCGGGCACATCCCCAGTGGGGGTTGTGCAAGAGGCGGCTGATGGATGTTTCTTTCTCATCGATGTTTCAGGCTTTCTATCTCTCTCCCTTCCTATCTATAAAAATAATCAATTATATATATATATATATATATGGTCCCTAAAGTTGGGGGGCTTGCTTGAACATAGGGATTGTTTCTGAAGGGGTGGGTGCAGGGCTGAGAAGGCCAAAGGAGATGGGAAGGTAAAGGTGACCTCACCCTGTCCTTGCTCCCCTCGAACCCCTGAGAGGAAGAAGACAGCCTCAGTCACTCCCGTGGCTCTGCAGAGCGGCTGCCGAGCCCAGGGGCGGACCTGACTCAGAGGAAGAGGGGGGCCCAGCTTCAGGCCCAGTAGCAGGGGACCACCGTGCAGCCGAGCACCATCCTCTGGCCCCAGATGTGTCCACAGGTGTCACCTCCCAGAAGTCACGGAGAACTGCTGGCCTCGATGAGACAACAGAGAGGCCAGGGACGCTCTCCCTCCATCAGCTGGTCAGCCTTTATGCCCCCTATTCCTCCTCTGCGCCCACACCAAAAGAGGACAGGAGCCAGGTCAGACATGGTCCCTGAGCCACCACGGTGTGCTGCCAGCGTGGGGATAGGGGTGGGGCGCGGCTGTCTCCTTGCACTTCAACCAGAACAAGGCTAGATTGCCAGAAACATTAGGTGTCATTAAAGATAGAGTTGGAGAAGTAACTGGGGGAGCAGGGGACAGGGGATGAAAACCAGTTGCTATTTGTATGCCAAGGCCTCTCAGATCAAGGCTCCTTATAGACACTGTTATTAGCACAAACATACAGATGAATAGTATAGAGAGAGGTTTCTGGAGCCACACTGTCTGGGTTGGATTCTCAGCTCTGCCACTCACTAGCTGTGTGACCAAGGGCAGGTTACTAAGCTACTCTGGGCTGTATTTTCCTTAAACTGTAAATTAGGGCTAAGAATAGTACCTACCCATGGTGGCATTGGGGCGATTGAATGCAGTAATCAGCTCTGGGAACTGTGCCTGGCACACACAGCACATGTTCGATAAATGCCAGCTTCTCACACTATTGTTACGCCATGTTCTCCTTAAGTCCAGGAACAAAATAGGCCAGCCCAGCAAGTTTCTGGGAGCAATGCAGAAATCCCATTATAAAGCAACGCACCGGTTCTCTCTGTGTGGGAAATCAAAGAACCCGCACAGACACACCGCTGCAGAGCACGCTTCCCGCTCTCACACAGAAACTAGAAAAAGGCGTTTTCTTGGCCTGAGGGCTACCAGTACCACCTTTGTGGTTTACCTGATGCTAGGCCGCAGCCTCAGAGGCAGTGTGTCTGTGGCCTGGGTTATTCAGATTCGCTGTTTGCTCTTATCTCCTAAGCCACATCCTTCCCTTCCCTTCATTTCACACCTACGGGAAGACAGCCTTTCCCCTTTCAGATGCCTGGGAATAGTTCCAGACAGAAGGCCATGTCATCTTCAAAAGTAATGCTACAATAAAATTCAAGGCGGCAGCATTGATGTCTGAATGAACGACACAAAGAGAGACAATCTTGGAATTGGGAAAACAACAAAGAGCCTCATTTCTCTGCCCCAGCTCTCCCAACCCATTGATTTCTGGGCCCATCTTCCTGGCATCTGTTAAAATATTACTGAAGTCAGTGGACCTTGCCCAGTTAAGATGTTAATTTCTACATTATCTCCTAAAACACAACATTGCATGTTTACGAACTTGGAAGATTTAGATGAAATCGCTTCTGAATACTTGCCTGCGATGACAGCTGGGCTTTTAGCTGATGAATATGTAAGAGCTGATGGGTAGGTTACGCCCTTTTGGGGTTTACCTTCTGCAAAAGAGAGAGAAAAGATTTATTTCTAGGCTTTGGATGGCTCTGTTTTGATAAGCTGCTCCCCTCCTTCCAATTAGTCTTTCTTGAGTTCAATAAAATCAGTCCGTCTCCCCCGTGCCGAATTATTGATTACGGTACGAAAGTCAAGTGGCATTTTGCTTTCCTGGATGGCTTGTACTTTATTAATATTCAAAAGGAAGCAATGAAACCTCCGTGACTGAGTCCACATGAGCATCCACTGTTTTGCCCATGAGGATGTGACATGGAAGCTGAAGTTTTCATACACGTGGCTTTGAATGTTTAATTGGGTCAGGAGACAGATGTGAAAACATTCCCCATGCCCCTCGTCAGATGCTGGAGTGCTCTGGCCACAGGCTGGCTATGCCTGACTGGCTGCCTCTCACTTTCATGGACCCTGAGGGATCCATTTGAATTCCCTGGCCCTCCAGAAACCTGGAAGTAGGGAGATGGAAATGTAGATCAGCCTTGACAATAAGCAGAAGTTGCCCACATAGGGAGAGAAAGTTAGATGCCAGGCAAGAAGAAGGAATGCTAATGTATAATATAGTAGGGAAATAATGGAGACAGAGAGAATAAGACCACCCTAGCTGGTTTGGCTGATAGAGTGTCAGCATGTGGATTAAAGGGTCCAGGGTTCAATTCTGATTAAGGGCACATGCCTGGGTTTTGGGTCCGATTCCCAGTGGGGGGCGTGTAGGAGGCAGCCGATCAACGATTCTGTCTAATCATTGATGTTTCTATCTCCCCCTCTCCTTTCCTCTCTGAAATCAATAAAAATCCTATCTAATAAGGATTATACTAATTGATATAATATACTAATTAATATACTAATTGACCCTCTTGCCATCACAAAAGATGGGGGTGCCCACAGCCAATAAAGAGGGAATATGCTAACTGACTTCCCCGTCCTCAAAGATGGCAGCGCCCAGTCCCCATGAGCCTGCCTCTAGAGTCCCCCAGTCTCCTCAGCCCCCAAGCCACCCAGGGCCAGCCCAAGGCACAGGCAAGCCTCAGATGGCAGCTGCCCAGCTGCCCACGGTCACCCAAGGCTAGGTAACCAGTGGCAACAGCAGAGGTGTGATGGGGTGTCGCCTTCCCCTGATTGCCATGTCACCTCCTGCCCCTGAGGGCTCTCAGACTGTGAGAGGGGGCAGTCTGGGCTAAAGGACCCCCCCCCCTTTCCAGTGTATGAATTTTCATGCATCGGGCCTCTAGTATATTTAAAGAAGAAAAGAAAACAAGACCAATCAGTGACAGGGGCTGGGTAAGGAAGTACCAAGCCAGATAGGACTGGAAATTGCCCTCTGTCTTCCCCCACCATGAGGTCATGCCCGAAATTCCACCAGGAAACAGAAAGTGTCCCTGGAATGTAGAAGCCCCCCAAAGGCAGGCACTTTGTCTCATAAGTGTTTGTTATCATTGGCCAAAAGGGTTTTCCGTTATATGTCAGGAGATGGAATGAAGGGATGTGGAAGTTGAGATTTATAGGGAATAATCTCAGCAGATTGATTTGCTCATGGAATTAATTTTTCTTTTAAACCTCTATTGGGATTCTTGGATTGCAGGCTAAATACTTTAGATCAAAATACTCTTATTTGGCCAGGAGCTACTTGGTAAACACCTATGAGGAGATTATATTTCTCTCCATACTCAACAAATTTGTATTCCAGACATAGCCTTTTCATAAGTCCTCTATTCTGATTCTTTGTGACGAGGCAAACCTCATAGCACTATGGTTGATGGCTTTCTGCTCTCTGACTTAGGAAGCAGTCTAACTTGTATCCTAAGGGTGCAGCAGGGAGGAGGGGTAGTTCTTTCTATAAAAATACTATCTAATGCATGTGGAAGAAATGACAGAATTAGAACAACTATAATTACTAATATAATTCTTGCTGCAGCAAGGGTCAATAGATGTTTACACCACTGAGTGATTTGTTGGGAAACAAGCTATTCATGCTGTTTCGAAGTATCACCCTGCAGATTGCTTATTAATTGTGAGGTATTTTCAGCATGGAGAGGGAAGGTAACATATCCAATTAATCAAATTTAGCCTCACCAATAACTGGCCACATCGCCATTATGTGCCTTCTGATAGGGTCATTGTGATAGGGCATAATTATATGCTATGAGGCTACCTGTCTCGTATCCTTGCCAAAATATTTAACCTGAATTCAACCAGGAGGAAACAATTGGAGATGTTTATGGTCCAGATTGTGGGACATACTACTAGTCAACTGGCTGGGACTTCAAAAATGTCATTTGCTGTTCATGACCAAAAAGGTAATGTATTGAGATAGTTCTAGATTGAAGGACACCAAATAGACATAACAGCTAAATGCAATGGATGATCTTTGGACTGTTGATCCAAAAAAGGAATAAATTATTCTGAAGACTATTTTAGGACAATTGGATACAATTGAATAGGAACTATTTATTATATAATATTGCATCAATGCTAATTTTTCAGATATGGTATTGGTTATTTAGGAAAATGTTCTTGCTCTTGCAATATGAGTGTTGAAGATCAAGTGTCATGATGCCTGCCTGTTTTAGACAAAATACAGGTAGATGATAGGTAGACAAACAGATAAGGTAAATATAGCAACTTATTAACAATTGGTGAATCTTGGTAAAGGGGAATCTAGATACTCATTGTATTATTCTTTGATTTTTTCTGTAAATTAAAAAAAATGCAAAATAAAAGGTTAGATTGGTGCTCGACTGGCATGGCTCAGTGGTTGAGCATTGACCTATGAACCAGGAGGTTGTGTGCTGGAAGCCAGTTCCAACATGTCATAATTGCAAGAGTTTCATCGAAAGGTTGGGATTTGGGGACTCAACAAGGGCTGAGTCACACATGTTATCACCTGTTGGGGATGGCTGAAGGCATTTCCCCAAACCTGAAAGGGATGCATAAATTGATTGCTTGCTGTCAGACAGCTCAGGGTATCTTAATCTACATGTTATTGCCTCCTGTTGGCCAAACACCTGAACAACCAAAGGCAATTCCCCATACTGGCAATGAATTCTGTACCTATCCCTACCCTTCGATGTGTATATCTCCACCTTGCCTTAGGACAAATTGTGCTAATAAAAAGCAAGGGGTCCTTAGATGAGGAGAACTTGATCTTAATCTTTAGCCAAGCTCCTCTGCCCCTCCCAAATGCCTTTCAAAATTGTTTCATCTCTGGACTATTGTTTAATTTATGCACAGCCCCTTCTCTAGGTTTCCAGAACCCTTCTAGATGCCGGATTAAGACCACTGGCATTAGTCGTGCAGAGGGCATGTGGGAGGCAGCCGATCAATGATTCTCTCTTTCATCATTTATGTTTATGTATCTCTCTCCCTCTCCCTTCCTCTCTGAAATAAATAAAAACATATTTTTAAAAAAAGGTTAGGTTGGGAAAATTCACAAATATAATAAAAAAAGGGGGGGGGGAATCATGATAATATAAATATACTTGCTTACCTTTTCACTGTGAAATTGTACTAGTCACTAGCTCACCGACATTACCTCTTTGGAAAAGGGGAGAAAAGTGAAAATGATTTTCTACAAAAATCCAAAAGAGCTAGATAGTGAGGACTGATTGACTAGTGCAACAGTTACTAAATAAAAACAAATCTCGAATTGTTGCTCAGTTCTTTAAGAGCCCATGTCCCTAACTGTTCATTTACCAGAATTCTCTAGGAATAAGGTTCTAGATCTGAGATTCATTTGGCCTAACAAAAGGAATAGTTAAAAAAAACACACCCAAGTTATTAGATGTAATTCACTTAATTAAAAAGTTTGATTGGGCTTACAGATAGCTGCAGTGTGTTTAACATGAGTAATTGCAGCCTTTCAATATTTCCAGGCTGCAGTGATTTATCACTGTAATTATAATTCATTGTCTCATGATCCTAATTATGAGAAGAACTAATCCTTCAGGTTTTATGAAATGAGGTGGGCCATGAATTAAAACTAACAGCACATTGGAAAGAGCACATTTTGTACCAAGAGGTTACTGAACCCCAAGCACCTGTGTTGGCGCATCCCCGCAGAGTGAGGGCATACCTGAGACGACGAAGGATTCTCTCCAATGGGGCAGGGATAAGGACTGGACGCCATTGGAGTAACTCCCTCTGTAGCCAGACTGGCCAGCTACTTTCTGAACAAGTACTTTCCCTCCTGAATTATCGAGCACACCACTGTGAAGAGAAAATAAATTTTTTGAAGAAAGAACAGAATATTGTTTGATGTGGTCAATAGAATACCAAACCAGCCTGTCTTTATTTAGAGATAGGAGAGCAGTGAGATTAAGAAAAGGATCACTTTAGCCAAGGCTGATTTGGCTCAGTGGATAGAGCGTCGGCCTTTGTACTGAAAGGTCCCGGGTTCGATTCCGGTCAAGGGCATGTAATTGGTTCTGGGCACATTCCCAGTAGGAGGTATGCAAGAGGCAGCTGATTGATGTTTCTCTCTCATCGATGTTTCTAACTCTCTATCCCTCTCTCTTCCTCTCTGTAAAAAATCAATAAAATATATTTTTTTTAAAAAGAAAAAGGGTCACCTTGACTTGCAGTTTCCCCCTCCCCCCAAGAACCGTGCCGCCTTCTTATGGCCCAGAATCCACCTCCCACCTCTGATGTCCTTCTTTTTCTTATTACAGGATCTGATTGTTCAGTCAGGAATTTCTCTTTACTACGCCTCAAATTTCTTTTCCCTGGTTTACTCATTCCCATTAATTCTTTCTTTTTGATGTTGTTAATCCTCACCCAAAGATATTTTTCTATTGATTTTTAGAAAGAGTGGAAGGAAGAGAGGGAGAGGAAAGAGAAGAACATCTATGTGAGAGAGACATCAGATGCCTATTGTGTTGGCTGTTGTCATTTTTTTATTTGACAGTCAGGGAAAAGAGGTCAGTGTTCCTGACTAAATAGTCAGGTTTTGGAAGTTTTAAAAATTCTGCACACATCCCTATTAGGCCGGGATCTAACCTGCAATCCAGGTACATGCCATTGACTGTGAATCGAATCCACAACCCTTCCGTGCACAAGCCGACACTCTAACCAATTAGCCATACCGGCAAGAGCCCCATTTGTTCTTTTATAAGTAAAACCTCTTTCCTGACAATTTCCAATTTCGTTGTGTGACATCACAGAATGAATCCAGTTATTTCAAAGGGTATGGTATGATGTTTTTAAAAGCAAATTATTCCTTTTATTTTGAGCCAGAAAGGTGTGTAGCTAAGTTAAGCCTTTTAAAAGAGTCCTCCAACACAAGGAATTGTTTATTTATTTTCTAGGTTTTGAAGGTTTTGGATCCTGACATGACGTAACTGTGTGAGACAGACGCTCAGTTCAGGTTTCTGAATATCATTTATGTGTGCCAGGAGATGAAAAAGGTTGAAAGTAGCTTGTCATGTATGGTATCTCCTTGGGTCCCTCAGCAAACCTATGCGTTGTGGAGTGGAGCGAATATGTTTTTCCCAGATGGTAGAAACAGACTTAGAGAGGTCGAGTGACTCCAGATTAACTATTACGTTTCAAGGCAGGGATTTGAATCCAGGTCTTGGTGACCTGGAACCCTGGGTCTGTCCCACTGGTCACAGTGACCTCTTGGGTTCAAAAACACAGGTACCTCCTGGCACAAACTCATGTCCTGGCAACCTGCTGTCTCTTCTCTCAGGAGCGCTCAGAATCCCTTCCCTCACCTCTCCCAGCTGCAGCTGGGCCGGTCTCTGCGCCTGACAGATGCCGGTTCTCTCTCCCGTGTCTCAATGTTTGCTCTGAGAACCTGGCTCCCACTTCTGCCTCACTGGATCCCTAACACCATCTTCCTCACCGAGATTGACACGACTTCCCTAAGCCCCTTCCTAGCAACACCTTACATCCTGTCTCCCAGTTGAGACTCTGAGTTCCTTTGGTCTCCCAGCTAGATTGGAAATTCTCGTACGGGAAGGACCATGTTTCATGTGTCTGTTTTAGAAGGCCTGTCAATGGTGTGTGGGTTCTGCTTGCCAAAGCCCACTGGTAAGCTTTAGGATTGTGGGAGCTGGTTCATTTCACATCAGTAGCTTGAAATCAGATACGATGGGAGTATTTATACCACCCAAGTCGGTAAATCAACAACCCCAACCTTTTCGGAGAGCCGGTGGTTAAACATTTACCAGCACATACCGGTGGTGTATCCGGAAACTTCTAATTATTAAAAGAAATTATCCCGTGGTCCCTTTACTCATAATTAACGGAGGACATAAAAATAACTTATGGTTTTTATTTTCCCCCAGAGAAATGATTCTGCTCTTGGATTTATATTCCATTGTGTGGACGAAGTGTGTGTGTGCACACTCCCTGTAGCTGCCACAGAGTGAGGGAGGGGGCCCTGCTGGGCCTTCCTGGGGCCTCCAGGGTTCTCACAATGGATTGTGAACGTTACGTCAGACTGCAAACCCAGACAAGGGGAGAGGTGCAGGTGTAGACCTACTGCGCTCCCATGAGGGGCTCCATGAGGTGTTCCGGGACTACAATAGGAGAGAGTGAGCCTCATCTTGTGGGCTGAACCAGAGGCTGAGGACATTCTCCCAGAGAGGGCAGATCCTGGGAGGCTCCAGCAGTTCAGGGAGGCGGATGTACCAGCCACTTGACCACCACGGGAGATCCTGGGGGAGGGTCGGAGCCTGCAGCGTATCCCCTGGGCTCTGGGCTGGAAGTCGTGGGCATGACTTCTAATCCTGAGTGTGCAACTCAGCAATTTAATGAACCGCCCTGTGCTTCTGCTCCTCTTCTAACAAATGGGGATGCTAGCAGCCTCCTGGGTTGAGATGATGCTAAAAGGCGAGGATTACAGTGCAAAGGAATACTGCCCTTCTGATGGCATCTTTGGTGAGGTCACATTAAGTCGCAGGGCTCTGTCCTGCATAGGAAACACGGAAAAGCAAGAGAGTGCAGGAGTGGTCGGCGGAAACCAGAAACCAGTGCCAGCCATCTCAGATCACAGCTGGAAAAACACAAGCACCTAAGACAGGCTCAGCCTCTGCGACAGAGGTCAGTGTCTACACAGCCGCAGCCGGGAGAGAGCTGATGTGGTGGAGCTGTGGGCACGCCCACGGGCGTGAAGGATGAATGAGCATGCACACGTGTGCAGATAGATATGTTTGGGAGGCATGCACGTGTGTATTCGTGCACGTGCAGGCGTGTCTATAAATCTTTACATACCTGTTTTGGCATGAAATTGACTTCAGAGTGAAAGCAGAATATTTTTATTCCATAGTCTGGAGTTAAGAAACCGCATTTAGTGTGGTTTCTCTTTAATATCCCTCTACCTGTCTCTAATAGAGGCTCCATCATCCTGTCACATTGAACGATCGGTTAATTCCTTATCTCTCTGCAGCGATGGGAAAAAGAGGAGTACGGCCAACAAAACCCACTAGTAATTCTTCCAACTGTTTTACACGTAGTTTTCTTTTCTTACTGCTTTTCCAATTTCAGAGAAGCTACTGGCTACATACCTTGAAGGGACATGCATTTTTACATCTTCTCTCCTCTCTCTGGAGAGGTAACACTGAACAATCCACCAACTGGTGTGCCGGGAGGGAGAAGGAAAAGAAGCTAGAAGCCTGAATAATTCAGACACTCCACGCCCTGAGTCAGGAGCCACGTCTCCCAGCAGGGCCTGCGGTGGGAGGAGTGCAGGCCCTGACGTGGCTTTGGGTCCCCATCTGCTGCTACATTTGAACAGTGTGGCTCTTCAGCTTCTCTTCTTCCTTAGGGTGTGGTTAATCAGAGTAGATACCGCGTAGGGCGGTGGTGAGGTTTAAATAAGATAGCAGAGGTGGGGTGCTTGGCACCTACACATTAGCCTTATTATCAAAGATATTAAGCAAAGCCCTAGCCAGTTTGTCTCAGTGGCTAACGCGTCGGCCTGTGCGTTCGATTCCGGTCAAGGGCACATGCTCCCGTTACGGGCTTGATCCCCAGAAGGGGGTGTGCAGGAGGCAGCCCACCAATGGTTTTTTTCTCGTCATTGATGTTTCTATCTCTCCCTCTCCTTTCTTCTCTGACATCAATAAAAAATAATCTATATAAAAAGATATTCAATAAGTACACATTTCCTGTGTTGTCTGAGGATTCTCCTCCTTTAGGCAGTGACTTGGGCCAAAGCATGGCAGCCTCCTGTCCTGCCTGGTCTCAAACCAACAGCGGGCCAAGCAGTGTCACGGCGCCCTCCTCCTCACCCTTCCTGTCCCCCGGTCTCAGGCATCACCATGGCCTGGACAATTCTTCTCCAAATGTCTGGGCCTGCCTTAGTCTCATCCCTAGAATCTCTGTGCTCAGCACACACAGGTATTTACATCATCAGGAACTTTGGTGTCCCTGGCAGGAAGGTGAAAGAGTAGGCTCTTCCCTCGGCTCCATTGGGGGGTGCAGAGGAGGGAGCCCTGCCATCTACCGAGCTTGGGGAAAGGAGATCCAGGACCACCCGCTGCTCCGGCGGGATCCTCCGGGGCAGGGGGCAGATGGATTCCCGGGTGCTCAGTTATTGTATATTGTATGTTTTTGTGTGCTGCATCAGCCACCCTGCCCGGCTCCCCGCCCGCACCCCGATTGCTGGCTGTTGAGTGGCTCCGCGCTGCCCACCTGTGAACCGCAGCGGCACACACGCTGGAGGAGGAGGCGTAGACGTTCGTGCCGTACACGTGGTACTTGGGGTCCTGGCATCCTGCCGGGCATTTCACAATGAACTCGGGATGGACGATCTTCCCAGCTTTGACATCACAGTTGATCGGAGGCACAGCTGAGAATATAAAATAGGTCCAAATCACACCCTGTGCTCTCAGCTTATACGGGGTGACTCTGTCAGGTCACAGCTATTCATTTAGTTAATCACGAAGAGCCAGAGCCTGGGCTGACCCCAGGTCCCCTCCATGTAATGAAAGCAAAGATGTAATTAGTTAGGACATCCCTCAGACCAGACGAGCAAACGCCGTCCGTTGCATTTAACTGCCGAGAGCAAAAGCAAAAAGCTCATTCCTGTGTTTATCTGGGCAATCAATTAATGGATCCGCGGTCAGGATGGGAGTGATCTTTCCTCCTCTGCCTTCACACTGGTGGGAAGCTGGGAGCTCCCTGCTGAGCACCCGGAAGAAGCTCGTTCACCCCTCCCTCTCCCCCCCCACCCCCCCTCCTGTTTTTGGCTGTGACTGCAGTTGCTGGGCCAGTGCTGTCCAGTGGAGGAGGCCAGTCTCCTGGAGCTAAAAGCTTGCTAGGGGTGCGGCAGGGGGAGGCCCTAGTGGCAGGACCTAAAGGAAGTGCAGCTGCATCTTCCCTGAAAAAGTTTACCTCTCACACAGGGAAAAGATGACACTATACCGATGTCCCCCCCCACCCCTCCTTAAAAATATATATATATTTTTTATTGATTTTTTTTTACAGAGAGGAAGGGAAAGGGATAGAGAGTTAGAAACATCGATGAGAGAGGGATGTGCCCGCAACCAAGGTACATGCCCTTGACCGGAATCGAACCTGGGACCCTTCAGTTTGCAGGCCGATGCTCTATCCACTGAGCCAAACCGGTTTTGGCTTACCAATACCCTTTGAGCTGGGACTGTTTCCCGCTCTGGGCCCATTCTTCAGAGGGGACTTGGAAACGTGAGCACAGTTCAAGGAGTGAGCAAGCTCAGGGGCCTGGAAACAACCAGATGAAGGGCTGGCTGGTGGACATGGGCTGTTTGGCCCTAAGAAAGAATCTGGAAGCCAGTGACGGCTGTCTCCACAGGGAGGACTTCTGTGCGCTGACACCAGGGGGCAGCGTTAGAATGCAAGGGCAGACAGGAGTGGCCAGGAAGAACTCATCTAGTAATAGAACCTGCCCTTGAGGAGTGGGCTGCCCCTTGAGCACTGAATGGGCTGACGTGTGCAAGGAGGGACTGGCCAGTCGAGGAGGGGATTTCCACCGTGGGCAGGAGGTAGAACAAAAGCCCCGCCCAGTGCCAGGAGCCTGTGATTCCATACATGTACCCGGGGTCAGGATCTCGGCCAGGCCACCCACCCGCTAACTGGGTTCCTGAGATGGTCTCAGAGCTGCTAATGGCTTCCAGCTGGAGTCAGAGCACACTGGCTTCCTTAACCCTTCCCTCCCTGAGCGGGGCAGAGAACCGGGTGGTAGGAGACTTACTCTTCTCTCGAACACCCCGCCCTGGCAGTCTGCCGCCCCGGGCTGAGCTTGATCACAGGCTAACACAATCTGCGGTCCCGCTAAGGAGCGGAGCGCTGTGCTTAGAGCAGTTTTGTGGTTTCATCCTTCCCGCCACAGGTTGCCTCCGGAGTTATTTCCTTTTTATCTTTCATTCTTTTAAACCCTGAGACTCAAGGCTGCATTTACTATGTTGAGTCGTAGAGTGTTGAGTTGTTTTTTTGTTAAAAGGCAATTTGGGGGCTGACCAGGCCAGTGTAGTCTCTCCTTGAACTGGTTCGTTGCTTGATCCCCGGGTGTAGCTCAGTGCGTTCAGCTCTCCTCCTGTCTCAGATCACATCCGCACTCCCACATGCACCTCCTCCCGTAGGCGGGAAGAAAAGGAAAGCATTCCTTCCTGGTTCTTATTTAGTTGAAACAGGAGGTGACAAGCTCTATGAACCGGGGTTCAGTTTGGATGTACCTTTGGCTCTCTTAAGATTTTGGGTCTCCTGGCAGGCCAAGCCAGATCTTGGGAAACGGAATAAATGGCCACATCTAGACGCTTACTGTGTGAGCTGTGCATAATGACTAAACCTATTGAAAGGCTTCAGGGAGCACATGGCACATGCAGTGGGATGTCTCCTGAAATAGTTGCTTTAAAAAGATAAGGGGGGAAATGTTCCATGGGAATATTATGCTTCCTGCTAATCAAATTCCCTACCCCTTCCTTTAAGGGGAATTTTAAAAAATTTGTTTGGTCTTGTTTGCACATAGACCTGAGAAGTACCTTAAATAAGATCTGCTCTTTCTGCACCCAGCTGGGTTAGCAAAACTGGTGGACCAGCCCATCCCAGAGGGAGGAAAAATGAAAGCAGGCACCGAGGTTTATGCGCTTTGGAAAAACCAAGGGCAATGGCAAAGTGTAGCTAAAGGTCAGATGTCTGTTGATGTGTACAGAGTGTCAAGCTGGAGAGAGGGAGCTGATTAAAGATGTCAGAGTAATTGTCCATGTCACTGGCAATGAGAGTGTCTAACTCCAGCCGGGAGAAGCAGCCATTTGTCTCTTTGGCAGCTCATGTTGGAGTCTGTGGCGGCCATGGTTTACCTCCTCACAGTCTCCTCACAGTTACTTGTGAAATTGTCTGTTGTCCCATAACCTTCCAAGAACCTTCCATTTTTCTACTTGAAGCACGTATGAAATGACTTGACTTTGCATTTCCTCTGAGTACTTTTGAGCGATTCCATTTTATAGCTTAGGTTTCCCTTGTTTCTTTCTCTTTTGTTGTTTAGGTTCACTTGCATATCTCCCTTCCCTTCTTTGGGTTTTATCCCAAAAGTGCAGAAAATAGTCAAAATTAAGGCAGCTCAAGAAGTATCATTCCCAGGTCTGAAGGGACAGGGAGATATTTGACAGATGTCAAAACAGAGAATCAGGTGCTGGGGATGCTGTGTCCCTGTTGCTAACTCAGGTGAGAACTTAGTAAGAAGCCATAGAAGGGTTTCCTCCCAGGAGCGTTTGGAAACAACAAGAATTGAGTGGACGGTTGCTGGTGGGAGTGAGGGGACCTGGGCTAACGTCACAGAGGTCCTGGGGGAGCCCAGAACTGCTTCACTGGGGCCTTTGCACAGAGACCTGTTCCTTGGCCTCCTGCTCTGCTTCTCCCTCATAGGATTCCTTTAGGTGACCTTGACTTCTCAAGGTCACGGTCACTTTCATGACAGAGCTCACACTGGAGCATCTCAGAATCTGCCAAGGATCCCTTCCCAGTGGCTCTTGGTACCAGCCACATGGAAAAGAGAAGAAGCACTTGCTACCCAGATGGTAAGGACTGTGGGATAGCCTTTAGATGCTACTCATGGTGATAATGTGTCTGTCGCATTGGTCTCCAAGAGTTCCTGGGAAAAGTGGGTATTGCCTGAGCCACTATTTTCATGCAACATTGAGATCTTAAAGGTGGAACTGCAAATGTTTCCGTTCTGCACTGAGTCTCCTGCCGCGTCCAGTAACAGAGGCATTGTTGAGGGGTGTTGCATGCAATCAGCCAGGGATGTAGCAAGCCAAATCAGACTGTGTGCGCTACTTCTTATTTTGCCATTCATCTTTTCAATGGTCCTAGGCAAGCCCGTTGCTTCTGGAAAACACATTTCCTAACCAATTTGAGAAGGCCATTATAAGTTTGCCTCCTGGATGTCAATGAGGAGGAATTATTATAACATAAAAGCACTTATGCATAAACACTTCGGATAGTAAATGGTTCTGTTGGACCATGGTATTCCAATAGAGTAAAATCCCATTTTAAGAGATTTATACAAAAAGTTAGCTTAACAAAATAAAAATGACCATTAAGTAAAATTGGAAAATGCATGCACTCTTCTTGATCCTGAGCTTCAGTGGCCAGATCATGTTAATTCTTCCTTTCTAGTGACTTAGGTCGTAAAGCATTTTCCCTCATTTTTCTTAAGCAGCCTCTGATCACTTTTGATTCAAACAAATTTGAACCTTTGGTCAATGGCTTTTTGCTGCCTTCAGGAAAAATTCCAGAATCCTTAAGGCCTTTCCACATCCCCTCCGTGGAATGTCCCTGTAGGTTTCCGATGAATGCTATCTTGCAGACATGGCTTGTGCATTTCTCACACCTGGAATGCTTTCTCCTTTCATGTGTTTAAATCATAATACATTTTCTGTGTCCCAGTTCCAGTTAATAGTCTACTCATCTACTGGAATATATACTCCATGAGGGCAGGATTTTTGTTTGCTGCTCAAACAAAAATGTATGCCCAGTGGTTGGTGAAACCAGTCCACTAGCAAGTCCTGCTGGTTTTGTTTCCAGATCTGCTATTTCTCTCTTACCTCCACCTTGGTCCAAGTCACTGACATTTCATGTCTAATCTGTTAACCCAATAAACAGCCTCCTGTCTCGTCTTATCCCTTCCATGTTACACATTCTTTGCCTCAGTCCTTTCTCCACTGAACAGCCGGTGTGATGCTTTTAACAGCGTAATCGCATTTCATTGCTCTCCTGCTTAAAACCCCTCATTGGCTTTCTGTGGCCCTCAGGATAATGCCAACGCTCCTTAAGGTGATCTCTAAGGCCTTAAAGGATTTGGTTCCTGAATTTTTCTCTACTTAATCTCCTAATACTGTTACTTGATGATGAAAAGGTGTCCGTCAGCAAAGGCCTGGAAGAAAATCTTCTAAACAGAAGGAAGAGCCAGGGCGAAAACTCTGATGTGGGAACGGGCGTGGTGGTGAAAGAACACAAATCTGCAGGGCTGCACAGAATTCTTTTCAGGAGGGACTTCTCGACAAGCCTACGTGGGGCAGAGGCTGAGCTTCCTGCCTGGAGAAGAGTCTACCCGGAAAATGGGCTTGTTAAATGGGGGAGAGAAGGTTGTGTGTAAAGTGGTGAAGAAGAGAGGGTGAGGGTGTAATGAGGTGCTGGTGGAAGATCTTGTGTTCTGTGAGGTGACTCCTTCTTTTGATCCTTAAAAATCAGAAAGGCCCTAAATATGATAAAATGTTCATTGAAGGGAAGTTTCTCTGAGGAGCTGCTGACGTGGCTGAGTCACAGGGCAGAGCCGGGCAGGAAGGCCATGGGGACACAGGATGGGTGTGGTCG